TGGAATTAATTTCATTGCACCATTTTCTTTTAATAATGATTCATTTTTATAAAGATATTTTAATAAATCTTTCATTTGATTATCTTTTATTTCAATTGTTGGAATATCAGATGATTGGGTGGACATTTTTTTCGCTCGAAATTAGTAGAAAAACACGCCTTTCTTTTTCTTCCTTTGTAATTATCGATAATCAAATGTGTTCGTTAGAAAATGTTTTTTTTTCTCTTTTTATTATGTGATTGATAGATAAATGCGCGTACAGGTAAGGTTACATTTTTATTCGAATCAAGCAGATTAAAATTATTTACTTAAACATTTTATTGAAGATTAAAATAAATTCAATAATAAGCGAATTTAAAATTCATGAAAATATCATTTTTTTTCTTCTAAAAACACATTTCTTAATTATTTATCAAATTATATTTTTACCAGCCATCTGATGACGTCAAAAAAGGTAATTTCGTTTTTTTTTTCATTCTGATCGATAATATTAGATAAGTTTTTGTTTTTTTCTAATATAACTTCTACGACTAAAGACGAAATGATCGAAGAATAGTAGATATGCTTCTACTTCCTTCATAATATTTATTTATTTTTGTTACCTTGAATAAGAAAATATTCGTATCGTGTTAATTCATCTAATTTATCATAAACGTCAAAATCTAAATGTAAAAAGAAACTAAAAACATTTCATTTAAAGAAATAACTGAAGATACATATGTAAATACAAATAAAAATGGTCACAATTATTTTCTGGATGAAAGTCTTCTAATAGATTTGATTTGATTTCAAAATGAAAATGTTTACATGGAGCACTGATTTATTAAAAAAAACATATAAAAAAAGGAACAATTAAAATAAATTCATTAAAACAAACTTTATTTAAAGCAATAAAAATAAGAATTCAATGGAAATTTTGTTTTTTTAAGACTCTTACTTTTAATTAAAATAAAGTTTTCTTCTTATTTCATCGAAAAAAATGTTTAATTTAAAAAAAAGAATTTTTTAAATATATGTAAACCATGTTCACAAATATTATTATTTTCAAGAATGGTTTTATGCTATGACAATGTTTTTTTTTATCGACGTTTTCTATCTAATGAAGTAATTGCATTTTTTCTCTTATTCTTTTCATCTAAACGTTTTTTATTTCTTTAAAAAGGTATTATTATTTATTAAAACTATCATTCCAAATGCGTATTGATTATCAAGGTTTACTTTTTCACAAAGTTATTTAACTTCCAATAAATCTACTTACTCATTTTCTTTTCTGCTCTATTGGTTTCTCTTCGTTCTCTTTTTACCTTTGAATAAGATGGTGAATCGAATCTCGCGTCTACCTCAATAATGACTCAAGTTACTTTTTCGTCCTCTAATGTATAGTATAGAGTATGTGAGAAGTAACAGAACGAAATATTCACATTTTTGTCTCGTATTCGTATCTCTTCAGCTCTCTCTCATGTAAAATCAATGAAAATATTTTTAATGATTAACATGACGCCAAAAGAAGTCAATAGAGAAGACAGCGCTGACTCATTGAATGAAATGAATTTTTCAAATCCACAACTTCTCATAAAGAAAAGTAACTGACGATAAATTGAACCGTGAATACCTATATAATATATAAAGAAAACTATGCAATAGACAACAATTGACAAGTCACACTCCCTGATCACAAGCTCAAGAAAATAGAAAAATCTGCGTACAAAATTTTCAGACGTTTCACTGGTTGCTATGAAACAAAAAAGAAACAAGAATCAAGGAAAACGAGTTATGTCGTAGCAAAGAAATTGAAAACTTTCTAATCTCACTTTGATAAATCTTTTCGCCTTGAATATTTTAAGAAGAAACATAATGTTATGGAATAGGACACTCAAAAATATCAAATACAGAGCAAATGACACGTTAGATGTAATCTTTTATCTAAGAAAAAAGCAAAAGAAAGTATTTCT